GCCCCTTACGAACCGGCGGTAAAGCCTGGTTCTGCACTAGTGGGAAGGATATCTCCGAATTATGCTTTTCCAAAAACCAAAGACCAGGATGAAGTAGCTTTCTCTTACTGAATATTGGTACTATAATACTTCCTACCACTCCTCTCTCAAATCTACTCCCTTTGGGTGAGGCATCCTTTCATTGGTGAAGTAGGTCCCCTGATGCTCGAGTCACTTTAGCAGACAGAAACCAGATCTAAAGTTAAAAGAGAATTTGCTGCAAGATCAAACTAGATGAAATATTTTGCTGACAGAACTGGCACATGTCAAAATTCTACCTTACTGACGCTGGAGGCTCTCCCTACCACCGCCACCAGCAATCTGAAATCTGAGGAAGGACGGCTTGTGCCGGCTCTTTTGGCAGTTTGTCGGCACAAAGGTTCTGAACCTGAGCTGCGAGCAGCCAAGAGGGGAAAAAATAGGAATGAGCAGTTCAAGATGCTGAATCTTCACCTAATTTAGGACGCAGATGATGACAGTGAATAAACGACACCAGCGGTACGAGGACAGCTTGCAACATAGGAACATATTCCCTCCCTAAGAAAATATAAGACGTTTTTGCAGTTCAAATTGAACTACAAAAAACGTCTTATATTTTGATACAGAGGTAGTATCATCTAATGGTACAAGTACAACAACTAGAGTCATCGTCAAGCTCCAGGCCATCAAGTCGTTGACCATGGTGCGTGGATCACATTGCACAGGCAACCGGTGTCACAGCAACAGTAACTGGTTCTTTTGAAAGAATAAAAAGGATGTTAAGACGCAGCTAGCATCAACTACAAAATGTGCTTTGCTACATGAACACCACTCATTCAGAAATCTGTGAATCTCAAGAGTAAAGACTCTTATCAAAATGCGCATAGGCAACTGAGATTTGCCTATCCCTGTCAGGATCACAATAACCAAGCGTGAGGCATCATATTTCTGAATATGCGAGGCTAACCTTTTTTTCACCGGAATGATCATAAAGAACTCATGAAATACTTACTTGAGACGATACCCAGTCCATCAGCCAGCACGTATAAAAGAAAAGGGAAATGAAATGATACCAGGCAAGTAGTTGCAGTTCGAAATTCAACATTCATTAGCCAGTACCAGATAAAAGTTTGACATAATAATAGATGCGGAGATGCAAACTACGCACTTAAATCCCTACAAGTCCACTACTCAGTTCACCAGCGTGCCCCAAGTAGAACCAAGAGAATCAATTTCCATGTGAAGCACACCAAAAGGACACCCAACAAGCCATTTCTGCATCTCGGTCAAACGGAACGGAAGAACCTATGCCCCCAACAAGCCATCTCTGCACCTCTTCGTAATACCTGTGGAGCAATAATCAATGTCACTATTCAAACAAGTTTGTACTATTCCTTATGTCTCAGAACTTCTGTATGATTCAAACAATAAACATTCCATCACCAGAAGCTCCAAAGTTAAATCATAAGCTACTTGGAAAAAACCAACAGAACAGTTAATTCCAAGTGGCACAACTTCAAGTTCTTCTTTTTTTACCGAAAGCCTTCAGCTTCTATTGTTGACACATTCTAATCCTTTGGCTACACCAGAAGCTAAGATTTAGTTGTTCAAATACCTCCATTAGGCTTAGTTCCGTTAGTCCCTTCGCCAAAGGGACTAACCAAGTAACCATGGTATTATTTGTTTCCTTATTTATCAAGTTGTAGCTGACTACACTAGCCCTTTAATGGTATTGGATTAAAACCTCAATGAATGTGGACTCTTTGATCAATGATCATACAATTGACGGTCCGTACCTCTAGAACATATCAACATTTAAAAAAGAGGGAGATTTACATATGTGAGTTCGAGTGACAAACAAAGATAAGGTGATAAAATATTTGAGCAAACCGCCAACAAGGCTAAGGTTGTACAAAAATTGCAACGATCACTACATTTTACAACAACACCAAATCCGCAGCGATATGAAATGGCAATTTATATAGGCCCGAGTTAACAAACGAAGTTCGAAGCCAAATGCTCAGGTATTGTTGGGTATCAATCAAAGATTAAAATCGTGGGCAAAGGAAAATAGCGGAAGGAAAGTTTGCCACGATCGTTAAGAAAGAAACAGCGTGATCTCCAGCGATTGCGGCGCGATCTCCCGCGATTCTGGGAAGGAAGTAAATCACGGGGCAGATTTCACGCGGAGATAGCGGCGCGATAGCGGTCTTTTCGCCCGCGATTTTAAACTATGGTATCAATTACTACTTGTGTAGAGGGGACAAGATACAAATAGCACCTGGACTTCATAGATTCCTAGCAGCAAAAACACCAAATGCAATGTTGCGACCAATAAAAGCAAATACTCTCTCTGAGCCATATTAATTGCCGCTCGCACGGATGTATCTAGCACTGAAATGCATCTGGACACATCCGTTTGAGCGACAACTACTATGTACTGGAAGGAGTAGAAAATACCAACGAAGCAAATGAAAGGGGAAATATTCCATTCTACTACTACTTAAATATAAGCTTACTTACTCAGCTAATATATCACAGTAGCATATCCATCTGACCAATCATCTTACGTATTATGCAAAAGTTCAGCTCCATCATGTCCACCACCAATGCTCGGGCCTACAAGTGGGCATTCTAACCATTATGTATCTCAGCTCGAGAAACATCTGCACTGCAGCTATGCACTGATTCTACCATTCATATGAGATAAAATAGATACAACCCGCAAAAAAAAAAGATAAAATAGATACGATAGGGCATGGATGAGATATTTGGATCAAATCACATAGGTAATTACTCATCATGAACAGATAAACAAAACCCCGTCTACTATCATATAAGGAAAAATATTCTATATACTCACTAGTGTCATAGAAATGAAGAATACACACTCAAACTATTAGCTGATCGGCAGGGAGAAGTTACCCCAAATTATGATTCAGCTCACTCCATGCTATATCGGGTAAAATAAAATATACCCACTAAAAGATGTCTTATCAAATCATAACCATCACATAAAATGCCACCACATAAACATCCAGAAAGAGCATACTAGAATAGTATTGATATATGTTGAAAAGATCATCAAGTAGCAAAAGAAACAATTTATATGGCACTACTTTAAATTGTTTAGCTCAACACAAAAGGATGTGAGCGCCATTCAATCAACCAATTCTAAGTAATATCCTGGTTTTTTCACACACAAAATGTACATGCACATACCATTACCTGCAGCATAGACACTTTCAAATGGATAATAGATGTCGGATTTGAAAAGTTCCTTGAACTCCAGTGACTCAAGCTGAAGAGTGAAGAAGCCAGCAGGTGTCCGTATGAACAGCACATTATTGTACTCAGCAAACCCTCGTATCATTAGGGGTGGCCCTCTCTTCTTCTTCTTTGGATTCATGGGAAGTAGCTTATCTAGTTCAATAGTTCTTCCCAGCACCCACGAAGCAACACCATTGGAATCAGTCTCCATCTTCCATAATTGGGCACTGAAATTTGATAGAAAGAGAATACCAAGGCCACCACCTTCTGCCCGCATAACCTGGAATCGGCTAATACAATTATTGGCAATATCCGTGGGCACAGGTATCACAGCTAAAATCTGCGTCTCCAAATCAAACTCAAGGATACCATCTAACATGCTAGTTTCTGCCGATGTATCGGTGAGCAACCAATAAATGGAATGCCCAACTAGCACACCGATGGTAAACCATATTCCAATCATGGTGGGATGTTCGTCCATAGAACTCGAAGGCATTGGTGGAAGCGGTGTGGCCATGAGATTTCCCCATATGCCAGTCTCCGATGAGTAGACGCGGGCAATTGCCCGTGTATGATGTTGGTTTGTCTCTGTGTCTACCAAGACAACGTGGAAGTGTTGGATGTCTCCGGCAGCGCGAAACACCGCCCCGCTGGTCGGGGTCTCCTCCCCATCCAACCCCGGGGGAACGGGTAGGCGGTGTTTGTCGCCGTTGAAGGGGTCCCGCACCAGGACCAGCTTCTCCGACTCCGATTCGTGGAAGATGAGTTGGAGGCCATGGCGCCATCCCAAGGGTCTGAAGCAGCCGTAGCCGTCGTCGTCGGTGTGCTCGTAGGAGAAGTGACCTTCCGGGACACGATTGGGCGGATCCATTGTAGGTTCGAAGTGCGAGCCCTCGAAGAAACCGAGGAGGGGAGGGTTGCGGCGGTGGTGGAGGCGGAAGCGGCGGGAGAAGCTGGGGTCGGAGACGAGGCCGAGCCAGCGCTTGGCGACGAGGGAGGCGCGAGGGAGGGAGGACGGATCTGGGGGGGGTCGGAGGAGGATCTCAGAGAGCAGGTTGTCGTCCTCCAGCGGCGGCACCGGCGGCGGCGAGCGTGGGCGGCGGCGGCTACTCATCTCGCCTAGGTTACACTCGCTCACGGGGAAAGGGGAGTCGAAGCAGCAGCCCACGATGTGGACTGACACTGAAGAGAAGCGCTGTAGAGAGTCTCGCAGCCAGTGAGTTTGGAGCCCAAAACTCCTTTCCGGAGAGGTGAAAGCCCATCACATACAACCACCGTAAGCAGTGTCACCTCAAAAAAAAAAAAACCAGCGTAAGCAGTTTTTTCCCCTTTATAGTACTTTTCTTTTCGTTTTTCTGAAGCTAAGGAAAATGTATAGTGACAAGCTAGACCCGGGGCACCATATACTTTCTTTGCGGGGAAACTCTTGTATTGCTCAAAAATCAAGGATTGCGGTCATGGTGACAGAGTTTCTACGTCATCCAGTTCAAATCCTAGCCATACTGCAGTACGTTCTTTTTTCTTTTGAAACACCCAGCAAATTGTTGGTTTTGATTGATGATTAGGAAGAAGCGACTGAAGATAACATGATGGTGACCCTAAGATCAAGGATGAAAAAGGAAGGAACTCAACATAAAGAAAACTATAGCCCTATTGGCTGCTAGAGAAAACAATCTCTCACGGTGGTTCCCCTAAAAGGGAACTCGATGCATTTTGCTCCAACAAGGCTTCATAGCACCACTGCTCGTCTGATTGCGGTGACAATCTCGTGCGCGGACGCGATCTTGCTCCAATGCTCCCTAAAAGTGCACTTATTCCTTTCCCGACAAATCTCCCATAAGGCAGTATTGTTTTGGACTCTTACCATTGGTAGAAATATAATGACTAATACTGGCTATGCCTAATCACTAGCAGAAAAAGGGCTTTTAGTCCCGGTTCATAAGGGCCTTTAGTCCCGGTTCTGGACTAAAGGGTCGTTATTAAAGCCTCCTCCTTTAGTCCCGGTTCTTACACGAACCGGGACTAAAGGCTCTCCACGTGGCCGCTGCCTGGAGGTCCACCTTTAGCCCTGGTTGGTAACACCAACCGGTACTAAAGAAATTTTATGATTTTTTTTTAAATTGAACTTTTTTTTGGAATATTTTTTTTTATTTTCAAATTTCTGAATTATTTTAACCTTTCATCTCTACTCAATTTAACCTCTAATCACCCCTCATCATCTAACTTCCCGGACGGTCACCCATCCTCTCACTACTCCAACCTGAGCACGCTTAACTTCCGGGTTCTATTCTCCCTCGTTTTCAAGTCTGCACTTGTTGTTTTCCTAACAATAGTAAGATGTCAATTCTATTAACCTCAGGAATTTAGCTTGAGCAAAAGTCACACATTTCACTGTTTGAGTTTGAAACTATTGGTCTAAAAAATAACACTAATATTTAGTAACACTAATATTTCTTGAATAATTAGTTTGACCATTGTTTGTCCATAGTTTGACCAGATTTGACCAAAATTCAAAAAACTAAAATAATTATTGAGTAACACTAATATTCTTGAATAATTATTTAGCAACACTAATACTTCTTGAACAAAAATTTTAAAAAAAACTGAAATTTGATGAATTTTTTTGCCTCCAGATCTTAAAAGCCCCGTAACTTTTTTCTGTTAGGTTTTTGAGGATTTTGAAAATGTTTAACGGGGTTCCCCCCGTTAAATTTGGATGTAACTTTTCGAGTAGATGATTTTTCATATAAAAACTTTTTCATCCGAGTTAGTATGCAAAAGTTATGCCCATTTTACTAAATTCTAGAGAGATTTTGCAAATAAAGTCGAAATTCATATTTGTAAATTTTCCCAACAACTAGACCACATATCACATGGGAAACTTATTTTCTTTTATTTTTTTGACATTTTCATCATTTTCTTTTAATTTTT